TTCACGCATGGTTTCTCCATTTTGGCTTTCTTTTTGTAAAATAAATGATGACATGGTGTAATATGTGTGTTGTTCATCTGAGGTTGTGTTTACCTACTTTTGAGAACTGCTAAAGACCAGGTGATTTTTATTATGTTCTGATACATAAAACCATAGAACTCAGGGTGTACTTTCTTTTTCACACAACTGTATTTTGTGGCAGAGCTGTCTCCAAGTTCTGCCTATCCCTGACTTCTGATCTATATAAAGACTTTTTTTAAAAAAAGACCAGCACCATTCCAATGTTGAACAGCAGGAAGGTGCCTTTTAAACTAAATATACAAATTAAGAAGTATGTGAGATTTTCAAGCTAAATCTAGATTTGCAAGGAGTATGTTAAACTATGAATTGGTATCTTCTTTGGCTTTTTTTAATGAATGTACTTATGTTTTTTTTCTTTTTGTTTTTGCATATGGTAAATTGTTCATTGTTCATGTTTCTTTTTTCTTCTTTCTTATTAAAAGGTCCAGATAACTCTCATTTCCCATGACTGTGGTGGCCTGACAAAGCGAGATGTCAAGCTGGCTCAGTTTATCGACAAAGCTGCTGCGTCTTGTCTAACAACTGGGTGCTAAAATAATGATAAAACAGAATTCTCTATTTTTTTTTCATTTATTTAGTCTTTTCTCTTAGAAAAATATGTTAATCCTCAAATTTCCCCATTCTTGTAGAAGTTTTTGCATAGATATAGAAAATTTTTCTCAAGTAGGTAAAATGCTGGAAATGGTGCATTAAAAGGCTGAGTTTGTTCATTCTATGTATCACTGGCACATCCCCTGTGGTCATCTGCCTTCAGTTAACACTGACCATTTGGGCAGGAATTCCTCCAAAGAAGAATGCTCAAAGTACCAGTGATTTGGGCTTATTAACAGGTCAGATTTGCATCCTAGGTACCCTGTATTGTATTTTGTCTTTCAGATTCTATAGTAAGTGAGAGTGGCACAGTTCAACATGAACATTATAGCCTGAATTTTTATTCAGTAATTACTGTGGGGGTCAGGTGACCCTATATTAGCATGCATTATTGCAAAGCATATGGCTGAGAGAAAAATTGGTGACAACTCCCTTGCTGTGGGTATACAGGTGTGCTTTCCACTTGTTTAAACCTCCAGGTATTCTCTAGTAACCATAAGTGATTGTGTGACAAAAGTCATGTTATATTCTTGGAAATCATAGTGAACATAATAATCGTAATGAATGTAAAAACACGCGCAGACACACACACACACCCTAGACACACTTTATATAGAGCTAAGCATATTTGTCAGATTGATTCCATATGCTTTCAACTTTTAGGCTTGATCCCAGGGGAATTCCCACTCTCCTGTTTTCTGCGGTACAGATCTGGCTCTTTCTAGGCCAACAAGAGACTTGGTGCAATGTATTATGGTAAAAAGCCAGAAGGTGTCTCTCCCCCAATTTGGTCCCCTTTCTTGACCATTGATCATGCTGATTGGAGCACTGTGGTTCCAATCTCCTTGAGGGCAGCAGTTTGGAGAAAGAGGGTCTGAGCCAACTTTGAGGCTCATTCCAGAGATAGTAGAAACAAGACTTAAGAGTAGAGCAAAAGTCCTGGCTTACTGAACAACCTACAGATCTGGAGAAGAAAGGATGAAAACAGAATTATTTCTCATGCTTATGCTAGGCACACACATGTATAATTAAAACTGAACAGAAATCTTATTTATTATGGCCAAATAACAGGAGATGCTCATTTCCTTGTTATGTTTATCCCAGTGTGTTTTTAAACCAAAATTCAGCTGTTAAAACGGCAGTTTAGCGCATAGGACTGACGCCGGAAGAATGGGGTCTTAACCTCGTTGACTCAGTGAATGCTATTTCTTTCTCCTACATGTGTACATCTGTGGGAAGTCACTTGGGGCATTTCTTTGAAAGAGTTAACACTGCTTTTCTCAGTGGCATCAGAAGAGGATATGGAAAGAAAAATGATACTGCTCAGTCACATAACCTGGGCCTAACTATTTTACTCTACTTTGGCTGAAAAGTGCTATGGAAAAATGCAGCACTTTTCAGTGAACTAAATCTTTTAGTTCCATGTAGTTAGCCCTGCACTTATGGGAATTATTTGGACTATGATTTTTCCCCCCATTATTTGTTCACATGCATGCATGTTAAGACCAGTTCAATAGGGAAGAATATCATTATCTGCCAATTTTGCAGTGAAAAAATGCATAATATATATTTGCTCACAAGAGAGTTGATTTGAAAAAAAAGGCGCATGTAGAGGAGGAGCACACATTGGCAGGAAGTCTTGACCCTTTTGACCATGTTTGTAAGGCCCACCTCCCTCCTTGCTACAGCATTTACTTGCCAGTAGACTAGGAATAAAAACAATAATGGCGATAAGAATAATTAAAAAGGAAAATAATTCTGTAGCATCACCTCCTTGTCCTAGAAGCGTGGAGACATGGGGCCAGGAAATGGCTGCTCTGTCTCCTTTTGGGGAGATGAAAACAAAAGTATCTAAAAACATTTTAAAAATTAGTTTGATGAAAAATAAGGTAGGAGAAAAAGTTACTTTAGCTTTAGGTGGTCAATGGTCAAATGCCTAAATAATTACAACTGGATGGAATAAGGCATTTAGTGCTGGTAAGAGCACAACTAGTGATCCAAACATCACTCTCCTATTAAATGCTATGGAAACCCAGGCACAAGTCCAGGATGGACAGGATCTGAGGCTCAATGGACTTAAGATGCCACAAGACTTGCAAGACCTGAGTCAGCACAAAAGACAATGACACATCTGATATAAAAATCACAGGCAAACAGCCAACTAGCATATCTTTTAAGAAATCTGTTTCCAAGTCCTTGCCTATCACTTTTCCTTTACCTTAGAGAAGAGGGATTTCCCCACCTTCTCCAACTAGCTGGTTCTGACTGATCCCTGTCTCTCATAGATTGCAATCTTGAATCAAAGTTTTAGGAGTGTTGACTCCCTAGAGATTTCTAGATATGGTTTGGCACCTTATCTCACTCCCAGCCTAGAAACACAACTGCTCACTGCAGCTCTTGGATTTCTCAGGGTTGGGCTGAGAACCTGTTGGACAAGCCTGGGCAAGTTTCTCTGTCCTCATGGATTGAGGCTCTGATTTTGCAGTCAATACAAACTCTTCAGCCTGTCTGCTCAAGTATCTGGGATATGTATATTGGCTGTCTTGATTTCAGGCTTCCCTGCCTGGCCTATGTTCAGCCTAGGTGGGGAAAGTCTGGGTGAGTGTAGGGGAGGAAAGGGTCTGCCATGAATGAATGAATGAATGAATGAATGAATGAATGAATGAATGTTTGCCCATTCACTATACCATGCTGACTGTGCCATATTAGGGGAATATCTTTATGATATCAAATCGAGTAACAAAATAGCATATAAATGTTGAGTTCTCAAGCACTCTTTGTCAAGTAAGAAGGTTTGCAGAAGAAAAACAGCTGTTTCTTGAAGCAATACGTGTATTTAATTACATATTTAATAGAATAAGCTCTCAAGCAAAATACACAGGTTTCTTGATAAATATAAAGACTGACCAGTTTTTCTGTATTTCTCTTTTCTGTTGACAAAGTTGAATATAATTCTGGCAGCAGTTCTGAAATCAGTGGAAGTCCATTCCAAAAATGGAAGTGAAAGTGGATAATTTCAGTTAGGTCTGGAGAGGATACAGCCTTAAAAAGTAAAGTTTAAGCTTCTGATGGTATAGAATCTTCATTTAGAGGTGGGCCCCACTATTGATTGGCTGAATTTGACATTCCTCACTTCATGTAATTTACATGCTTACTGTATCTTGCTTAACTTACTGTATTTTAATTTGAATAAACAATTCACATTACTCTTTCTAAACTCTTGTCTCTGGTTTCTGATTCTGCTAATTCCATATGGTGCCCATTTTCAGTAATGATGAAAATTTGTCAATGTATTTCAGTTGACATTTCTAAGTGGCCACCCATACAAGTCACAGATGGTCCATGTTTTAATGGGTGCTACAAGACTGTTCATTATTTTAGCTGAAACATTGTTTTTGCTGAAGAATAGCACACTTCTAGACATGTTTCCCTAGAAATAAGACCACCTGTAGTCTGAACATGGATAACTTAAAGGTGTACTGGGGAATAATTCAAGCCCTATTCCCCAAATCTGTGGACATGCAACATTCTCTACAGACTGATACATTCAGTCTAAAGGCCTGAAAACAGATTTTAGCTAAGCATCCTTCAATAACTCAGAATTCTACTCAGAAATCCTTTTCAGAACTATGCACTGAATCTGTAAAGGTCAGACCGAAGCCTATACTTGCAGGAGTGGGTGAGTAATTAAATATGGGTGCTTGTATACATGCACTCCCCATTTTTAGTCCTTCAGTGTCTAAGTCAAGGCCTGAATATAAGCTTTAGATTTATACTCTTGAAAAGGTTCATTTTAATATTGCACTCTTTAAGGAATTCGGTACTTCAAATAATTTGTTTAAAGCACCTGTCAAGGCATACAAATTAAATAAAGTTATTTTGTGTGGATTTTAAAGCAGCTCATGGCTATCTTAAGTGCTGTTTCTTATGGAGGAAAAATGTCAATACTGGAGTTAAGAATGAAACTAAGCTTTCTGTAATTTCTTAACTCTTTATTCAAATGACAAAAATAATCTTTTTAAAGGTGGTAATGGAAGGATTACTTCCAAGGTACATTCTTTGGTTGTCTTTCTGGATTAATAAAGGACTTGAATCCAACATTTAGATGAGAAGTGTAGAAGGCTTATTCAGAGCTACAGAAAGGGCTTGATTGCAGTTACTGCCCCAAAAGGGTATGCTGCAAAATATTAGGTTAGAGGTACCAATAATTATGTCCAGGTTTAGGCACTCCTGGTCTAATTACATATTTCAATGACTTCTTAGGTGAACAGAAGCTGATACAGCTTCTACATAGTTAGCACAAAGTTAAATGTGACATTTTCCTGCAAACGTGTATACTTACTGCCTATGTGCAGTTATTACAAATTCAAAATAAGAAAATCAAATGTGGTAGGTGGAGAAATTGGGACACCCTTTTAATCTGTAGTTTAGCAGATATAAGAGTTTCCAAACATTCCCTATTGGCAGCTAAGAATCTCTATAGCTTTTGGATTTTTTCCCTTATTCCTTGCAGAAGTCTCTTAGCTTAGTAATATTATTCGGGACTGTTTCCACATAATGATGCCACCACCGATGGAGGGGAGAGGGCAATTAAGATCTTCCCCAGGAGCTTGATGGTCCTTGAGGACTTTCCCAGCTATCTGGAGGGCAGTTCTGTTGAACTCCTGGCAGTGGCAAAGATGGCACTGAGAGGTAGAACCAAGTGATGGTCAAAGCTTCTTTGAGGGAAGGAGATTCCAGCACCTTTGAAGGAAGTGCTGATCCATCCACTTCTCAGATCCAAAGGTAATGGACAACCTCTGTCTTTTCTCCAATCTCCCCTTCTTGGGGAAGGTGGTTGAGAAAGTGATAGAATGTCAATTATAAAGAGCTCTGGAGGATACAGTTTATCTGAATTCTTAGCAATCTAGGTTCAGGTCTGGATATGGAATGGAAGCTGCACTGTTTGTGCACAGATCTCTGGTGGGATTTGGATGATGGAAGCACAAGCATACTGGTTCTGGTGAACTTCTTAGTAGCCTTTAATACTATAAACCACAGTATCCTGGATTGCATATGAAGGTTGTGAGTCAGAAGTACTATATTATAGTTATTCTGCTTCTTCCTGAGTGGTCAAGTCTAATCAATGTTGAAGAACAGAGGGACCAGGCCCTCTGGCACTCGGTTACAAGGTGCCCCAAGGTGTATTCCTGTCCCCAATCCTGTGTAATATCTACATGAAGCCATTGGAGGAGGACATCTGTCAATTTGAGATGAAGTATAAATGTATTAGTGATACTCAAGTACATCTCAAGGCCCATCAAAGTGGGAGATGTAGAAATTTTAACCTAGTGCTAACAAGCGGCAGGATCTGGTGGCCGGTTGTGGTGGGAAATAGGCTCAGACTTGGCTCAAGCAAAATGGAATGGCTGTTGATGCAGGAGCCTTCTGCTTCTGGGGCACTACTAACTTTGATTCTCAGTGGAGCTGTACTTCCCCAGGAACAGTGGGTCCATGTACTGGAGATCCTTCTGGATTCATGACTCTTGCTGGAAGAGCAGGTGGAGGCTATGGCTGGGAAAGGCTTTGCCCGGCTTTGGCTGGGGTGCCAGTTGTGAATTTACCTGGAACAGGATGCTTTGAGGTAATCTCTTGCATAGATTACTATAATTCAGTTTACATGAAGCTGACTTTGAAGACTACTTGGAAACTAGTTAGAACAAAACGCAGTGGGCCATGTGCTTATTGGACAATCTCATTACTACCATATTATGCTGATGCTGTGAGAGCTATATTGGCTACCAGTGGGTTGTTAAACTTAACCACTGCTATGTTAACTCTTCTTTAGGCAGCTTTGATTTACTTTAGCTTTCCTCCTCCTTTCCTGGAGAGGAGGAGGGAGAGGGAAAAATAACTCTTTTTCCTGAGCCTTCTGAAAGCCAGCACTTTGGTCACACTTCTCCACCCTGTTCCTCTTGTCTTTTCCAATGCAGCTCCAATCCTTTCACCAGGCAGTCCACTCCACAGATTTTCCTTTCTGATCCTGCTTGCCTCTGCTGGGTAGTCAGTTACACATTTCTCCTTCCTCCAAGGATCCTCTCCCCAACTGCATTGCCTGGTTTCCTCCAGCAACTTCAATTGCCCTTGATAAATGCACGATACCTCCAGTCCACAAAGAAACACACAACACAAACCTAGTCTACAACCTAGTCTCAGTCCTGGCAGCTCAGCCTACCATAGTATTGAACAACTTACTAGTTTCAAAGTTGGTACTGCATAGTCTAAAAAGTGGGCAAACTGTTTTGTGCAAACAATTGTACTTAATCATTTTCCTCCATACGTTGATAGCTGAATCATTTCCTCTACAGTTTTCATACTATAAATAAAAAATACAGCACTACCAAAGTGATGAGATTGTTTAATGTGCTTTCCTCTAAACTGGGAAAGCCCAAGACAGCAGATCTTAGATTTTGCATATGCCATTCTAAAATTGTGAGGTCACAGAGTAAGTGAGGTCAGACCGGCACTTTCGTTCTTTCCAGGTAGGCTTTCTCTTGATTTACAGTGTTGGTTGTGAAAACACAAGCACAGTTCACATTTTGGGAAGTATGGCTGTGGATTCTTTAGAATTTCCTGAAAAATCTCGACTAATTAACAAGCTCTCATTTGAGGCATTTAAGTCTGGATCTGAAATTGAAGTGAAACGCTATTTGTTTGGATACCAGTAAGTTTTCAGCCAGGATTTTTTAGTTATATATCACATCTAGAAACTGTTTCATGAAATTTTGAATCACATATTGCCCAAAGCTATATCTGGTATATGTACAGTGGTACCTCGGGTCACGAACGCTTCTGTTCACGAACAATTCGGGTCACGAACAGCACTGTTCGGAAAATTTTGCTTCCGTTTGCGAACTCCGTATCCGTGACAAACAGGATCTGTGGCCATTTTCCCTGCCGTGACACATGGTCGTGGCTTCCTGTAGGGGGGGGGACTCCCCCTCAAAACAATACCCGCCTCCCCACCCGCCTTCCTGTCCTCCACGCCAGAAGTCGCCTCGAGCAAGGTTAGCGTTCTCTCTTCATAGTGTACTGTACTGTACTTTGTTTCATATTTTTGTGGTTTTAAAA